CATAACAAGAAGTCCAAGTTCTACTTCATCTGACACCCATGAGTCCTACACGTTGAGATCAAATATTGTAGGCTGGTCCACAAAAATGGCGTAATAAATTTGATGATGTGTCGTTTCCTTTGATTCCAATATACTTGCATCAAAAGAATTCAACGTATGGCGGCAATTTAAGCAATATAAGGAAGCCTCAAATTGTATCTGCAGAGTGTTCTATCTCAGCTCTAAACTCTTCAGCTCCAAATATAGTGGTTGTTTGATTTTATGGTTGTCAGATTCAGTGTTCTGATCCCTATACAATAGAAAACTTAAAAAATGCAACATGTTTCATGATTAAAGATTCAATTATATGGAGAATTTCTTTTTGAAAAATCTGTAGGAATGTGTGTGGGAGTTACTATGGACTAACTCTACAAGAACGAATGTGTACTCGAGCATAAACTAATGGGTTATCTCGGATATGGAACCCCATCACCTCAAGTCCATGACGAGGTGATGTGTGCGTAGGCTGTGAATCTTCAGCTGCCTATGGGCCGATGATCCCGAGGGACCCATTCTACTAGCAGGATCGATGCTTCACTTGTTGTCCCTTTATTTGGCTAATTTCTTTTCTTCATTGGCTACTTCCTTAGCGCTAGCATCAGACACATTGATCATCACTTTGGCATTATGTTATGGTAGAACTTCACTGCCAATACACAAGTATGAAACTTTATGATTCTAATAGGTGGAGTTGTGGGAAATATCATCCCCTGTCGTGCCCCATTCTGCGGCGGACGCAGAAAGGGGGGGGGGGAGGGAAGGTAAAAGAGCTTCCTAACCTCAAGAATAACTTGCAAGATTTATGGTATTCAATTCAAATGTTGTGCAACTACCATAGTCGAAAGTGAAGGCATCTAAGTTTTGGTCCGTTTTAAATCGAATTTCTGTGTCATGCGCTGGTGAAAACTTCTTAGCTTTTGCACAAGATTGTATTCGGGCCTTGGCAATTTCTACCTCACATCGCGGAAAATCTTGAGAACGCCACTGCTTCAAGGGTGAAATTATTCCAATTTCTAATCGTTATTCAACCCCAGGCGTTCTTCAGTTTACATTGTAAGAATACCGAATCTGTAAATTTCATGTGCTACCGTATTACCACAACACAAAATATCTAGAACGGTTTTTTAGAACTGTATGGGCTGATTTAGCTCACTTCAACCAGTTCTCCATATCAAAGGGGATATGGACATACTATGAACTTCAATTCTATGAAGGACTGAAAAAGGAAAGCATCGTCCTAGTTGTCAGCTGAAGATTTATGCACGTTATTATATTCTTTCAGTAGAAAAGGCGGAGAGTCAATCGGTGACAGGAGCTGCGGATTTCTCAAGTGCTCGACAAAATGGATTACGCTGAAGAGCGAATCGAATCAGTAGCTCCTGGCGTTGACGTCGAACTCGCGAATTCTTCTGTTCGCAGTACACCAAGCGTGCGCTTTCCGCGTGGAGGAATGTCGTTAGCGAGCCGAAGAAGCTCCGAAGCCGGCGCCGGCACCGCCTTCGCCCCCCCCCCCCCCTTGGCAGTGTCTTCCATCAAAAATGGCTTCGTCTTCGCTTGTTCTATTTTGATGAACGAATTGTTCGATATCCCCAGGGTGAAGGGCAAGCAGAGGTTTGCTTGCGCTGATGGGGGATTGGTGTGGTCCAATATCCTCTGACAAACTCCATTTTAACGGCATCATCCTGACAGTTTTAGCAGAAGCTGCCGCCATTTTACGCTTCAGCACTCCTAATGCATTCTTTTTCTGTATTTCTTTGTTTTCTACCCATTCACGATTTCCTTGAAGGAGATGACAAAACTTTTGAGCACTTCTAGTATAACTACCGCCTTCTGCTTGATTAGCTCATTAACTAGTTTTGTTGATTATCTCACATCTTCCAACGAAACTCAAAAAAATTGACCTATACTAGGAAAATTTCTACCGCTATATACTCATGCTTGCTCAAACTTTCGTTCACCACATGGTCTTACTTTTCCAAAAGTTTCAAATTTTGCTCATATTCTTAGAAACTGGCCATAAAGGGCATTTAAGAATCAAAGTGTTTACTCTACCCCCTCTATTTATTCGTTTTTGCCATCGTAACAATAAAACGGTAAAACTACACCAATTCGAAACATTTTTCACGATGAGAGTCCACTTCCATATGCATTTTCATTCATACTAAAACTTAGCTATACCTTTTGTAGTTTTCTCACGCTGCAAATTTTTCTTCATTATGTTACTTTACATTCTCCATATTTCTCATCAACGGATACATTACGTATGGTAAGGTTCAACATTCTTTTTTCACACCCATTTTTTTACGATTGTTCGTTATCCTCATATTCCTGAGTACATCTGCAATGTTTCAATGCTCTCTTCATTACATTAGGAGGAATGTATTCGTGCTGTGTGATAGAGAACCTGCCGCAATTTCACTGAACAAAAAACGCGTCTAATCTAAGTAGTAATTGAAATGACCGAAGATTCTTCATCAAGGCGAGTCTCGTGGATTTCTTTGATGAAAATGAAAGAGAAAAGCAAGGCAAGGTCCACAGCTTCACTGCTAGCTAGAAAGAATTAAGTTCAACCCATATAGAGCACTCAATTTCAACCTAATGAGGTGAGAAAAATGTGAAGTATTTGAAAGACCTATTTTATCTCGAGCTTGAAAAGTGGCGGTAAAGCTAAGATATTTGAGACAAACCAGTCAAATGGTTACGAGCAAAAAATACGAAAAAAAATCAATAATCGTTATTACTACAATGAAGTAACGATATGCAATGTGTAGTTTTGCAATTCATTTATAGCTTGATATAAATACAAAATGATGAATCAGTTTGTATCTTATGGGTGTGCGCTAAAAGATCGAGTAGGAGTAATGACGCATATCTTTTTTTCGTTTTCTGAATGCATTGCTTTTATAGTTCTTAAGGGGGATTCGGCCCGTGATGTAGATCTGGCAGCTTTGAAAAAACGATAAAAGATCATCTTTCCTCCATTTCATAGCCGAGGACATACGCTTGCGTCAGAGGAGCATCCAAGTCACCAGTTGCCCTTCGCTGTTTACCATATTTTTTGCTGCGCAAATCTCATCAAATGAGCCGAGCCGCGACTTCCCTGCCAGCAGGAGGTTTTCAAAGGCAGTAAAACTGTTTTCGTTCCTTATGAGGTCCGTAGTTGCCGTGTCGTCGTCTCGTGAGCCGAGCATGAAGCTTCAGTGTTGGCTAATTGGTTCAATCTCGGCATCAACATACAATCGAGCCGAAGAGGAGAGCGAGGGAGAGACAGAGACTCAAATTATATGGCAACGCCTACCCAATCAAGCAACGCTTCCAGCTTTTCTCTTCACGGCTCCTTCGAACACTAAGCTCTTCTACAGTCGATATTACAATGAGTGCTGATTGTCAAGAATTGTCAGCGATCCGCACTTATCCGAAAATTCGAGCCCAGAACCCCAAATGACGTTGTTTTGAGTTCGCGCGCAAGTGCTCTCAATTCGTCAGCCTCAGCGTGGCCATGTTTTATTCAGCGCATTCCATCTCCACTGCTTCGATCCCCGCCCCAGATTTACTGGGCTTTCTTGGCCGCGTAGGTGGCTATTTCATATTATTAGCCGTGTTTGTGAGTGACCAATTACATGCCGGGATTACTGTAGCTGTTAGAGCTGTCTCATCTTCTTTATGTTTTTCAAGTGTTTCAATTCAATGTCTAATTGGGTTCTAATCCAAACTAGAAAGCTGTAGTCCAAGGAATATGCAGATTAAGGCGGTCATCTCATGGTATGAAAATAATTCAAAAATTTGGCAATTTTTGCAAGGTTCAAAATGCCTAATTAGCTCTGTTGTGATACTGGCCTCCTCTATCCATAACCTTTCCAATCTCAGTGAAGCCTCGAAAAAACTATCGTCCCCCAGCTAGAATGTGGTTATAAACACACTAAGTTTCCAGAGCTTTGAAAACTTTTTAATAAGCGTTATCTACACCTGAAAGTACAGCAAGCAATACCAACAGTTGTACCTCTGGGAACAGTTCCCAAGATATGATATGCCTCTTAAGTGCTTGACAATTGCGTGAGAAGCCCTGATTTCCTGAAAAAATTACTTTTCATAAGAGGCTATATAGCTTCACCAGCAGAACCAAGTCCACAAATGGACTTTTTGAGCAGTCATAGGTTGATTTTGCTTAAAAGTTTGAACCCCAGTATGGAAACTAATATTCCGTAAAATAACTTTGTTACACCCAAAGCAAAAAATCCTCGAAACTTCCTTGTAAGATTCTTCCCCATTTTTGGATTACCGAGCGTTGTAGCTTTCAGTATGACATTTCTCTCATAAACATTTTTTGAATTTTACAGTTCAAAATTCTTGTTGACGAATATCTATTGCGTTATGGTGACTAAAAATTAATATCTTCATTTCGCAGGCAGTTGGTTTTGTCACATTGCTTTCGTGCTTCTTGCTTTTTGCTTTTTTGAAGTCTTGTCAATGTCACAAAATCTTGATGCGCGAAGTTTCGGTAGAGTACTACTCCGCTCAATAAGTTACTAGAACTATTCCATCTAAAAGAAAACTACTGCGTTTTTCTAATCTCTACCATTGCAAACAGCCGTTGTCCAGCATTTGTTCACGCTGAAAGGCACTTTATTCCTCTGAGGACTCGATTACATGTGCAAAATTCCCACGTGTAGCTAGAAGTAGCTGAAGCTTGGTAGAAGCGATCAATCCCCTTCCACGTTCCTCCTCATGCTCTGCGAGAAGCGCAGTTCGCACGACATCGACGGCGGCGACGTCGACCACCTCCACCATATCTCATCGCTCTTTTGATGATTCACACAACTCTCCAAACGACTTCGAGCCGTGTAATTTGGCCAAATCGGAAGCGTAGCGACGTCAATTCGATATGCCGTACAATCATCGTATTCTTTTTCAGTGGCTTTTCTCTGTGAGGCGGGCGACATCGTCTGCTTGCGGCCGACGAAATGGCCGACATTTTGGGAGTCATTGCCATCATCTTCTTCTACGTTTTAATTTTGATAGTAGGAATATGGGCAGGACGTAAAACCAAGGTCAGTAGCTAACCCTTTTTAAAAATTTGTATTTTTCTATAAATCATCACTTCTAATTTTTACAATCGACCTGTTTTTCATTTTTTTGAAAATATAAATCTTGCTCTTCATAGTATTAGTTTAGAGGCTTTCTAATAAGCATACGTTGCATAGATAAAAGCGATAGAATAAGATTGCTTAAAATTTGAATTTTCTGCGTATGAATATTTCTGCGTTTGGTCGTAAATCTGAAGATTGCAATAAAAATCGGAGGGGTCGATATTATGGGTTTTATCTGCCCTTTTTAACAAGGCAAGTTTGTGCTGATTGAACGACTCTATGAGAGATTTGATTTTTAAGCAATCAATACAAAACTGCAGCTATAATTTTTTTGGCATTTTTTTCTTGAAACGTAACTTTTTTATAGAGACCTTCAATCAGCAAAAGCTTTACTTAATTGAAAAGGACAGGTAATAAACCCATAGTATCGGCTCCTCCGATTTTCCTTATAAGTTTAGATTTTTACGACTCACAAAAGTTTGTATGATTCTTTTCTACCGATTATATCTGTGCAGTCTATTTTTTCTAGAATGTCTTTAGGATATCTTTATAGAAAACATGATATACACTTCCAAATAAAAATAAGCAAGCAAATTTTTTTTGAAAATCAGAACTTACTCATTTTTGAAAATGGCGCAACAGATGTCCGTTCTAACCAAATACATGTTTGATTTTCAAATCTTCACAACACTAAGTTTTCGCGCTTATGAATAACTTTCCATTCCGTATATCTCTATCATAACACTTTTTTATTCTCTCGGCTCTCAGATCTGTTTGCTGAGTCTCGGGATAAAATGCGCAGCTCTAAAAGGGTCAAATATCAGGGGGTGTTAATTTGCAATCCATGGTCGTATTTCACGAGCGGTCCTATGGGAATACAAGGAGATTTTTTGCACTTTGCACTCATTCGCACTGTTACATAGCTGTAAACAATAGAAACTTCTCTTGGCAAACAATGTTGAGATATCATCGTTCAAACTTTTCGTAAAAGTCTCCTGAGTTGGTTGCTAGTGAGAAAGTCATTTTTTCTCCAAACAAATCAAAAGTTCCGTCATCGTAGTGTTCAAATCTCTTTCACTTTAGACTACAAAATTTTCCGCTCCTATGATGTGACGTTAGGTTTTTTGTAACCAACTCCCAGGTTTACCAAGCGTTCTACTTGAGAAAGTGCGTAAAGCGTATTCTCACTACACCACATTACTTGCTGGAAACCAGTTTTTTAAGTTGTTAGGGATTACCAGGGCAAGTTTCAGAAGTACGCAATATCTGCGAAATTGAAATACGAGCTCGTGTGAAAGCGCATCACTTGGGCCTGAGACCAGGTAAAGAAAAAAAGAGTATATACATCAGTGTTGAAAAGGAATTCCCCTTTATCATGTCTGCAGTCTATCAGTCTATTTCTCCGGGGAGCACATTGAGAAAACATAATTACCTAATATTAAGCTATTTTTATATCACTTCAGCTATATTATAGTGACACCGCAGACTTTCTACAGAAATCGTAGTAGTATGCATTTGCTTCTACGGTACATTTTGGTATGAAAGTTGAATAGATTTTGTGAGCGAAATCGCATTATTGTAAAGCTGAAATTTTGTAAAAGTGGACTTGCAATGGGAGTTCGCTTGATCGAAGTGGCGCTTGATCGAAGCGGAAGGTGATGTTTACCAATCTGAAATCATCATGTTTTCGAGTGTCTTTCATCGCTGTTCTTCAAAGGTCGTCATTTTCCTTCTAGACCACACTTCCATTGTAATTCCTAAAGGAAAACGCTTCGAGATATAGAAGCTATACTTGAGATCAGCGTTTCAAGCTTCATGCGTATGTACAGGTGGTTGCAAAAATAATGTCCGTTAAGCAAAGTTTTACTTTGAAAGGCTATAACATTGCCCAATTTTCATACTTTCAAATGTAATCAAGACATCAGAAGCAGTAAACCTTTCGTAACCTAATGCTCTCCTGCATTTACTGACAACGCAAACGCGAAGAAAATCATGCGTCAATAACCGGGAGCTTTTTCGAAAACCTTGTCTTTGGAAAATAACAACTCCCTCAAGTTTTGTTCCTATAAATGCTGATCAGATTATTTTGTAGACGCAGGCCAGTAGTATAAGTTTGTATAGAAAGAAATTCGACGAAGGAAAAGCGGAAAGAAAAGATAGAAATCCAAAATTGTTCACTTTTTTTTGAGAATATTTGTGGTAGGCCAGAAGCTCTAAACTATAACAATTTGGTATTCTTCCTGCACTTAATACTGCACTTAATAGCTAAGCTTTTTTGCGGAAATTGTAGGCAAGATATCTTGACCTCAGGCCTACATAAATGACCGAAGCTTCGGCGATTGTTTTGATCAGCAAAAATTTTTAACCCATAGGTGCCATGCAGTGAGTATCTGTTCTGAGGCGCCGATTTTGCAGTCCACATATATCCGAAAATCTCTATCAAACATGTAATAGGTAAACAATATTTATCCCATACAGCAGCTATTTTTTCAAAGGAATTCCTTCATTCGCGTCTGAACTGTGGGCAAGAAAGTTAAAGAAATGCAATTTCAATTTTGAATGCGGCTGTGCAAAATGCTAGTGGAATTCTCACAAATGAGATAGAAGCTCAGTTTTACAACTGCTAGAAAGTACATGAAGAAAGCTTTTCAAAGATGTGCAAAATCTATGAGAAAGAAATTTTGAAGGAAAAGGTTGTTCGGAAAATAGGTTTAGATAAACGGGCATTATTTTTGCAACAGCCTAATAGATATACATTACCGTCCGATAACCACTTCGTTCAAGCGACCTTCCCTTGATAGTAACCTTGATTCTCCTAGGTTTTCTAGTGCAAGAACCAGGTTTCCAATAAGTACACTTTGAACGTTTTCTTTATGCAAGGTGTGCTAGTGCGTAATGTACTTTGCAAGGGCGGCGCTTCAGAAGAAGGTGGTGAAGGAAGAGGAAGTTGAAGCTTTGTAAATATTACACAAAACGTTAAATATGACGTTCTTTGGAAAGCTCCCTTTTCAGAAGAGAAAAACAACAGCAGAAGCTCACTATCAACTTTAGAACCTACCCAATTATTAATGACTAGATTTGTCACCCACAAAGGTGTTTTCAACGACTCTGACATATTGCAAGAGTGACAGCTTTAGAATCACCTCAGTTTGCACTCAAATCTTTGATGCATGGGTTCATCAGACTTTCTTCAACGAAGCTACAAGAAAAGTAAATTTTGAAAGCTAATCGTTTTTGCAAAGTCCCGGTGACAGGTGGCATGGTTATGAAACCGTACATCTTGTATTTTGTCCCATCTCCGTACAATGACAATATCACTAAGAAAAGCTCAAAAGTGCGGATATTAGAGTCTAACTCGAGAAAAAAAACAGTGAGCCTACTGTGCAGGTTCAGTAGAAGAAAGCCATACGGAAAAGCTCACACAAAAAACTTCAAGATGTAATTCACAAAAAGTTTCAAGTATCGGAATTTCTTATTTGCAGGATGCAAAGGACTTGATTGATCAAGAAGGGGCTCACACGGAAGAAGTGATGTTAGCGGGAAGAAACATCGGCACTCTAGTTGGTATTTTCACCATGACAGGTACTTTCCTCCACTTCTTTGAGTCTCGCTATACTCTTCTGTTGGGATAAACTATCTCGGCACTTCAGCTAAAAGCTGCAGAGGGTTATAGATCGTGGTCAGACTAGGCATCAGAAACTTTCCTTAAACTGCAAGATCATTGCAATATTAATTGCAATTTTTTATGATTTGCTTATGATTGGGTTTTTTCCTAGATAATTGTTTCACTTGATTGAATCTAGTGGAATGATGTCACTTGAATTATCAGAAGTCGATTCTATCCCAAGCCTGCGGCATTGGAATATGACTGGTAAAAAAGATTGCTTTGAGAGGTAGGGTAGGTCACATTTCGTACTGGGTGCCCCTCAACTCACCAGAAAAAAAGATTTGTTATGCCAGCTATGAATGCGCTACCGATCGGGTTTAGCCGATAGGAAAGTGGATCTAACTCTACCTTTGATAGCCAGAAGGTAAGGCCTCATAAATGAAGGTCGTTCCAACATCTACCCCCCCCCCCCTATTTAAGAGGTGAAAATTGTTTTTGAAAAAGTAGAGAAGAGAAAAATGCAAAACGAGTAGCAGGGGCAGAAGAAAGTCCGAAACCGAATGAAAATGCCGCAATGAGTTTGAGAAGTTTCACTTGTCGGCATAAATTGCAAGTTTTCGCTACCCGCCAGTCGAGGAGGAGGGGGGAGGGGGAGAGGGGGAGGGGGAATGGAAAGAAAAATGCCAGTTTCTTATTTTTGAGTGCCTCAAAAAATCACGTTTTGAAAGAGTGATGACGGTGGTGATCATCAAACAGAGAGTGAACAAGAAAATGATTAGTTGTGAAAACGCAAGGCATCTGTTTCACTAAGTCGAAATGCACATCAACGCCAATCAAGTTTCTAATACGTCCTTTGGATTTTCATTTCAGTCTCGTAGTTTCTGTTTACGGCGACGTTATAAGCTTTGTTCTGCTCATCATTCTGAGCAAGGCTCAGAAAAAATAAAACGGAACGGTAGCGTACTTTTTGAAGCTTATTCTTAGACATTTGACCATTGAGAATTAAGATTGGTCGTTGTCCTTGTCTACATGGTCGGTAAATGCAAGGTCTATCGAATGCACGAACGCGTGAAAAGAAGCATACTGACGAAAAAAAAAGAGATTTTCGAAAACACGGTTTCTTCCAGATTTCTCGTCCCCATCAAAAGTTGGGACTTTGGAACGCTCTAAGCGTAAAAGTAGAGCTTTAGAGCTGTATGATATACATTTTGCTAGAAGAGGGTTTAGAACAACGGAAAAGAGGGTAGACCGTGCACCGCGTTTGGGCTTAATGACGTGGATTAGTGACATATTTGTAGTTCATCCTTGCTTTCAAAAACGAAGTTATGGTTAAACAATGTCCAAAATTTGTGGTCGTAAATTTAAGAAGAATCTAATTTTAATCACTAGTAAACGGACATTTTCGATTATCTGCAAGGTGAAATTCCAGCGATATAATTTGTAAAAATTAAAGCAAGTCAACTAGTGCTAAATTTTGTAAGTCACTCTTCAGAGCACGAAATCTTCTATTTTCACTTCATCAACTGAGTGACGATGACAAGCTTATTCATGCTAAATGATTGTTAGGTATCAACGGTAGCCGAAAAATTTTGATTTTAGAATGTAGTCATGCGCTGCATATACAGACTAGACTTTCTTTTCGGAAGGAGCTTAGCACAAGAAGGAATGCAATAACGGTGCATGGGCGAGACAGTGCAAGCTCGTTTTCTTGACTATTGTCTCTTGTAAGTCAGGAAAAAGAATTTTTTGAATACCAAACGAAATTTAGCGAACATTCAATCACCGAAAGCTTTGGTTGTTGCTAGAAAGAGTGAGAAATCTTCAGCTATATCTATTGCTCTCTAAAATCAATTGCGATATCCCAATGATAAAGAAGAAGAATTTTGTTGTGATTTACACAGGATGACTCTAAAAAGGTTTCATCGCTCTTGAAAACTATTTTACTTTTTTTAATCCAAGTTGAATAGGGCTCGGAACTGATGGGTGACTAATGTTGTGGTCCATTTTGTCTTTTTGTCATACCTTTGAATGCCTCCGCACAGAAGTTTGAAAGATTTTTCATATTCAACCTCTCTGTTTCCATTTTCAAATCTTTCTTTTCGCTTATTTGACCTTGCGCAATTCCAAGCTTACTTTCAATAATTGCTTCTGCGGAATGATGATTCTAAAACTCAAGACCTAAAAAATCTCGCTTCCTCGAATTTTGTATATTTCTAAGCCATGGAGAAGTAAGCACAACACTCAGGCATTCCACTTTATTCAAGATCAAGAGTTTTGAAGCTGATGCAATTATATTCTGTACTGGATGTGGTGGGGGGGGGGGTGCGGAAGGGAGAAAAGAAGAGGAAGTCTCGCAGCTAAGTAGTAGATACAAGCTCGATTTGATGTGGAGGTCAGGACGAAAGTAGAAACCACATCTTAAGCACGATGGAGATACAAAAATAAAAGTTCTTACAACTACTCAAATCAAAAAAACTATCATGAAGGAAACAGTATGTATGATAGAAAATGCCGAGAGACCCAAATGCGCCTAACAATTGCTGGCTTAGCAATTTTTGAGCTAGTAAAAAAACGTATGATTATGTGACGTCTCTGTTGTCCGATAATAGGTAGCAGATCGTCGCATCGCTGTAACATTGAAGCGAATATGTCCGTTAGACTATGCTAACAAATTTTTTACTAGAGCTTATGTCGTACCAAGAGTATTTCCTTTTTTGTTTTTTCAAAATTACACAGAACCTCAAAAAACGGCAACCAAGTGCTTGGTGCAGATTTTCTATCTCTCTCGAACAGAAGCGATTACAAGTGATACAATAGTGGGCATCCGTTTGGTCTTACCTTGTCCTTTCTACAGGCTATATCGCAGCTCCGGAATAGATACAGTAAAAGACTTTTCTGAGACATCAGTTGTCGCCGAAAGTGTAAGGCCCTTCTAAATGCTTATCTAACCTTAGTCAAATGTAAAGGTGTTTGATTGATATGTTGATGTGAAACACTACCTTTTCTACAAGATTTCTCTGAAATCAGGATAACCTAGTAATTGGAAGGTATATGGTATAAAGTGCCACCAGCTAGCCAATTTAGTCATTGTTCGCTGCTCTGCGAGACCTTGTGCAGAGTAAAAGCAAAGAAGTTTACGACCTACTAATTTATGCTCATTTCGATTTGAATAATACTGACGGTCGGTATAGAGAAACAGGGAATTTACTGGCTATTACAAAGGCTATGTATAGAAACTGATGATTGTTTTGAATGATCTGGAACGACAACGATGTATTTCGTTTGATGCACCGTTTGTGTTTATTCATCGAGATTTATGTGCTCAGAAGTTGCTTTCAAATTTCTAAAAACATTCAGTCTAGCTCTGGACAAGTTCCAAAATTTTCATTTAGCCCTGCGGTAAAATTTGAATTTAGAGACGTCGACTTTTCGCATCGAAATGAAATTTGGATTCCTATAATTTGATTTTGTCAAGGATTGTCTGGACATGAAAAGCGAACCCGCGCTAACTCATCTCAGCGTGCTCAAGAACCCATATATTCCCCAAAAGGATGAAGGATTTCAAAAACTGCCTTGTGATAGCAAATTTTGATTAGCCCAAGCTCTACTAGTCCCAAGTAATGTCGTTTTAATTGGACATAGCTCCGTGTAGGAGGCTCCTAACTCAGTCCTTGATAATGTATGATTGCGTGACTGGATAGCATCGCAGTATATGCTTTGATCTAGGAGGGAACAGCGCTTATGAAACCTTTTTTGATCACGGTTGATAGAATTTATTGGTGACGAAGTAAAATATTCAAAAGCTACAAACGGGATTTCTCTTGAAAATATCGAGTTCGTTCAAATTGGGAGCGGAGCGTTCGTCTTCTGTTTCTACTACCAAATGGCAGTGGCGCTCCCAGGATTTCGGACCGGGGGAGGGGGCGCGCGACGAAAATTTTTTTTCAATGAAGGTGCGTGGCGTCAGCCACGCACAATTTTTGGGGTGCTTCTCAAAATTTTTGCGGGTCTCCCACCCCTAAAATCTGGAAAAATTTCTTTTACAAGGCTAATTTGAATTTTCAAAAACTTTCAAAAATTATTTTAATTATTTCAATAATTAAAATAATTTTGATTACAAGTATAAACAAGTCACTTGCACATTTTTATAACCCATATAAGTATTTCAATTATTTCGCAACCCATTCTCGCCCCCCCCCTCCCTCTCAGTCCGCCACTGCCAAATGATATACTAAAGAGGAGCCACATTACCTTGTGTATATATACCGAATTCTGATCCAAAGAACCAAAAATTGCTAGGCTGCAGAACCTTATATCATTAGCCCTTTTCTCTCATCCAGAGGAGTTTTACCACTTTTTATCTCCGCAAAGTCTTGGTGCTGTTTTGTTGTCTACGAACTCTATATGAAGAAGAACTTGTTAACATGCACAATTACTCTATTCCCTTCTTACAATTAGTCGTGAATGATTAAAGTCGCTCATATGAGGGTCTGCAACCTTAGTAAAGATCCCTCCATTAAGATGCCTACCTTTACCTTGCGAGTTTCCTATCGCTTTAGATGGACACCAAGACCAATTTTCGTGGCCTCTTTGCCGCTACTGCAGCTTACAAAATATTTCAACTTTCAGAGAATATAGTGAGTGAAAGTAATGGGCTAATAGCGGCAGTAATTAGCAGTCAATAGCAGCAACTTAGTTTGCAAGAATTCTAAAGCGTGGGTATGTCTCCTAGAGTCTTTGTCAGTAGCACAACGCAGGAATAAAAGCGGTGGAGGCCGGAACGGGTCTTCAATTTTTTGACAGTGGTCTATACCATTCAACAAACGAGTAACTAACTTATTACAACTTGCAAATAGCTAACATAGTTTATTGATGTAATTTAGCTCTGAGAAAAATCTCATCGGATTTACGTCTCGGATATTAAGTTGGTTCAGGCGACTTGAAGTGCATACGCAAGGTATTGGAAAAGAAATGTTTTTATGTTCTACTCATGAGAAAGTGCTCACCTATTATCTTGAAGCACGCATATCAATCGTTTTTGAATGTATTCCGTAATCAAAATGAGATGTGAGTGCTCTACTATGCCTAGTGATCCAAGGGGATCATGAGTTCAGCTATGGGGCAGCAAGAGCTAGAAAGCTGAAGACCAAGCAGTTCGAGTGTTTGAGGCAGGGCTTGGCACAGCTGACACCGGGTCGACCTGAATATTGTTTTGGGACAAAAAAGGGGATATCGTTTTTGTGACCGTAAAGACACAAAAATTGCAGTTTTTTTAGTCGAAGTTTTGTTTTTTAGGGTTTTTTTACGTTTAGGATTAATGGTCAAAGGGGACTTCGCGCGCAGTTGTCAAGATCAAAGAGGACTTCGTGTTGAAATTTCCTGGCGCCAGCTCGTGCCTAGCCCTGATTGAGGAGATTGCTAGATGATAAAGATTTTGCATCGTAAGACTGAAAACTGAACTAGAAAAAAACTGAAAAAGAGTAGTCTTCCACGTTACGCTCAATTTCTCTGCAGTGGTGGTAAAATTTGAATCACACCTCCTGGACGTACAAACACGTAGAATTGTTGCAAATATTGTTGTTTTTAGCGACTTGGGTTGGAGGAGCGTATATCAACGGAACAGCAGAAGCGCTCTATAATGGCGGTCTTCTTGGCTGCCAAGCGCCGATCGGCTACGCGCTATCGCTCGTCATGGGAGGATTGTTTTTCGCTAAGCGCATGCGAGACGAGGGATATGTGACGATGCTGGACCCCTTCCAGGTAGAATTTTTGAAGGAGGAACACTAACATCTGCCATTGCCTAGACATTCATCTCCTTTTGCACCGTATGCACACAAAAGCGGAAAACTACTCGAGCAGACTCCTTATGTATGAAAAGTCATTTATTATAGATTAAATATGGTCAGCGAGTAGGAGGGCTGATGTTTCTGCCTGCGCTGCTTGGTGAAGTATTTTGGAGCGCAGCCATTCTATCTGCACTTGGTGAGTCAAACTTGAATCACAGCCTTTTTTCTTTCGAGTTTCGTTTCTCATTTTGCCATATGCTCCAAAAATACTTGCCTTGCTACTGGAAATATTTTCTGACAGCAAGAACATCACGACTTTATCGGAAATAATTATTCAATTTGAGGTGCAACTCTCTCTGTAATCCTGCAAATTGACATGAATCTATCGGTGATCATCTCTGCTCTCATTGCCATCTTCTACACATTCACTGGTGGACTTTACGCCGTTGCGTACACTGATGTCGTGCAATTATTCTGTATCTTCGTTGGTTTGGTGGGTTATTGATTATTTGAGTAAAGATTCTAAAAAAATATAACTTACTCTATATAAGAGACTTCATTCAGTTCCTTCTCGCCCTCGTAAAACCACTTCATTCATTCACTTGCTGTGAGCAGACAAGATATAGGCAATAATTAACAGAGGACCATTCTTTTTGAAATTAATCGAAGAACTTTTCTCGTTTATCTTGTATAAATAGAAAACAAGAACTAGAGAATGCGAAATGCATGAGAAAAAGCCACAAATTGTCCGAAAGCATGCTTAAGTGTTATGAATGACTGGTAATGGGTACATTTTAAAGAAAAAACAATAACAGTTAGTGTTCCAGATGTTTGAACACGCACAAAAACAAAACCAGTAAATTGTGAGATCACCGTTTTCCGCTGGAGTTCACCGAACTCGTCGCATCGCCATATCTTGCTTCAAAATGGAAGAATTGTGAATTCAAAAGCGCTCTTCTCATTTCTACTAGATGCATCTTCATGTAGGGGTGACTTTTTGGGCATGAATCGGTCAAATTTCACGTATCTTTCCAGATCTTCGCTTACGGTAGGTTACTCATTTAGCAATGAAAAAGCATCTGAGTAACTAATCGTAAGCAAAAACTGGAAGAATCGGCGTAATTTGACGCGATTACCGTGCCCAAATAGACACTCCTATGTATCAAAAGATGCACCTCGTCGAGCAATTGAATGGTGCTTTTGGATTCAGAATTCGTCCACTCTGAGCAGGATATGGCGAAGCGACACGAAGTTAGGCGAATTTCGGTGGAGTTTACGAGAGGTGTTATTTCTGTTTAGTAAGAAAAGATCTATTTCATTGTAACTCATCAAAATAGCACTCATGGTTCATTATGAAAACTTTCAGTAGAAAGTCTCAACAGAATCTATTTATAAATGAGGCAGATATATTGCTGGAATGTAACACACAGCTTGGATAAATTGATATAAACAGCTATTAATACTTTTGCTATTTTGAAAAATCTCAAATTACTTCAACCATTGGCAAGATTTGAAAAATGTTTAATTTTACCGGTCATTTGCATAATGTAAGTGCAGTGAGAAACACTAAAAAATGCAAAATTAGTGTACCTCATTTTTGGTCCTCACTAGGTGGTCAAACATGATGATCTATATGTGACTGGTTAGGATCTTTCTCGAACAAATTTTTGGCGGACATTCGTTATTCTGATCATAATTAATTGCTACGAGCTCTGTTCAAGCATTCTTTTTTTTGTAATTTGGACGCTTATAGGAGTTTGATTACGGAGAAGTTATCAAAGAGCTGAATCTTGGCAGAGCAAACTTTCAATGGCATGTGCCGCTACTGTAACTGAATTTGTCTTTGGGTGATTATTCTTACGTTCATACCGCCCAAATTTGGCGCTCTAGGAAATATAGTCACTTATTAGCTTGCTTCCCGGCTCCGCCCGGCCCTGTGAAAACACTGTAATAAAGGTCGCATCCCTATCCCTGTACAGCCTTTCCCTGTGCCCATTTCTACACTTAACTTCCCGTTCCATGTATTGTTTTCGAAATCAGCGTGCCCACTTACCCCTCCTGTGCCAACTCCCAGCCCTGTAGCTCAAATTTTGCAAAAAATCGATAAAATCGATAAAAGCAATGGACGATTTCAAAAACTAATATTGTATTCGGAATCAGCATGTTCGATTACCCCCCTGTGCAATCTCCCAGCCCCGTAGCTCAAACTTTGCAAAAAAAATCGATAAAATCGATAAAAGTAATCGATAATCCTGAAAACTAATATTGTATTCAGAATCCCCATGCTCGATTACCCCCCTGCGCAAACTCCCAGCCCCGTAGCTCAAACTTTGCAAAAAATCGATAAAATGGATAAAATCGATATCGATCGATGACGAAAAGTAGCCTGTGACACTCGCCGGGGCCCGAAGTGTATGTTGCCAAGTTTGGTCCGGATCGGTTCAGAAATGGAATTTTCTATTCGGAACGTACGTACACATAGACAGACAGACAGACATACATACAGACAGACAAACAGACATTCAGCTTTATATATAAGACTAGCGACCCTACGGGTCGCTAGCAAGCGGGTAGGTGTTTCATACCTATAATTTTCTCAAGTGAATTTTCAATTTATCAGTATACTAGCGGCATACCCGGCTCCACCCGGCCCTGTCAAAACATTATGTTAAAGGTTACTATCCCTACTCCTAACAAATCTTTCCCTGTGCCCACTTCTAATTGCCATTCCCTGTCGTCGTTTTGTTCTCGTTTTATGCCAGCTTGTTCCCACTTGTTAATAACCTACCCTCTCTTCTTGGCTGCTACTTCATCTTCACTGCTCCTTCCTTTGTTCTTGCTCCGAATCGTGCAGCCGTTCCCGTGAGGGATTTTTTCTTCTTTTCTTGCTGTCCCGCGGCGGAACACCGCATCCTCCTAGCTGTGAAGAGTAAATGAAACTCACCGCCCTCGTTTACGTTTCTACAGAAAATGCTTGGTCAAAACATGAAAAGCTTTCATTTTTCTACATTTAAGTAAACAAATCAATAAATCGATGGAAGGACCCAGTGAATCGTCGCGAAAAGTAGCCTATCTTCTGCGCCGCCCCTCATTTATAGGGGAGCGAATTTTAGCCTCATCGGTTCACAAACAAAGGAGTCTATAAGCCACATACTTACATACGAACAATTTTACAGAGATTGAGATTTATTTATATATAGATTAGGTTGTTGCAAGAATAATGTCCATTTTGCGAATTTTCAATTTGGAAGGTTATAACTTCGTTCAGTTTTCATATTTTTGAATGCAGTTAAGATCGTTAGAAACAGCAATCCTTTCGCAATTTAACGCGCACCTGCCCGCACTGATATTGCAAATGGGAAGAAAACCATGATGGGATAAGATTAACTCCGGTCCGCCTTGAGAGAGATGCCCTGATGGGGGCCCTGATGTTTTTCGAAGATTTTCTCAGAATTTGGCCGGAAAAGTGGATCATATCGTGCTAAAATTTTGTTTTGCCCCAGTCATCGCTGTGCAGCTTCCTTTCGCAACGCCACTTTCGCACTCACGCTTACAATCTGGAGAGAAAAATTGAATTCACCCAGAGCAAAAGCTCCCAAAAGCGAGATTTTCGAAGATTTTCTCAAAATTTGGCCGGAAAAGTGGGCCATATCGTGCTAAAATTTTGTTTTGCCCCAGTCATCGCTGTACAGCTTCCTTTCGCAACGTCACTTTCGCACTCACGCTTACAATCTGGAGAGAAAAATCGAATTTACCCAGAGCAAAAGCTCCCAAAAGCAAGATTCTCGAAGATTTTCTCAAAATTTGGCCGAAAAAGTGGGTCATATCGTGCTAAAATTTTGTTTTGCCCCAGTCATCGCTGTACAGCTTCCTTTCGCAACGTCACTTTCGCACTCACGCTTACAATCTGGAGAGAAAAATCGAATTTACCCAGAGCAAAAGCTCCCAAAAGCAAGATTCTCGAAGATTTTCTCAAAATTTGGCCGGAAAAGTGGATCATATCGTGCTAAAATTTTGTTTTGCCCCAGTCATCGCTGTACAGCTTCCTTTCGCAACGTCACTTTCGCACTCACGCTTACAATCTGGAGAGAAAAATCGAATTCACCCAGAGCAAAAGCTCCCAAAAGCGAGATTTTCGAAGATTTTCTCAAAATTTGGCGGAAAAGTGGAAGCAAAGTGAATACTGAAATCGGATGTGAGCAGATCAAATGGTATGCGTCTATAAATAACTTTGCAACAATGACCAAGCTCGCAATTTCAACACCCTTGGCACGCGCTTGCGTCTTTACACATTCATTGAGCAGCAGAGCGTACTGCGTGTCGTGGCCTCTCGTTCGCGCTAGGACCTCTGCGTCCTCTTGACCTCATGATCGCACCGTCGCGTCTCTACACAATAAGGCCCCGTTCAGCAACTGGCGTTTATTCAAAACACCCGTTGAAGCATACATGTGGGCGGACCATCCTCGCCGTCTCGTTTTTTGGGATCGGGTTTATATTATAGGAGAGGATATAAATTATCATTGCGGGGCGAACCTTGAAATCTAAGCTAACGCATTGTTCATGAATGAGGGAGGGAGGAACCTGTTTTTCACAAAGCTCTCGAATATCAAACGGCATCTCTAATAGCTCATGAGCGAATTTTGTAAGCTTGGGAAATATAAATCTTAACAAATATCTTGCACTTTATGTGTGTTACAAACTCCAAAGGAGCAAAATATCAAAGCATAGAGCACTACTATCATTTTATGATGTGAGTAGAAGTTTACATGCCAAAACAGAGAGTTGGAATGAAAATACAAAATGCCTCTTATGTAAAATATTTCAAATTATGATTAAAATCTAGCGTCTTTTTATTTTTATTCCAAATTTAGTGGGTCTGTGTACCAGCCGCTTTGTTACAAGACGCAACGAAGGATATTTCACGCAATGCGGGGGACTGGATAGGAGAAATCGGTGGATTCAAAGAAACATGGCTATGGATCGACTGCATGCTTCTTCTGGTGTGTGGAGGAATACCATGGCAGGTACTGTCTTTCAACGAAAAAAACGAAATACAGCAGTCCTGTGCAGACTTCGACCAGGATAGCTCTTATAGGTCTACTTTCAACGAGTGCTCTCATCAAAAACATCAACTGGAGCACAGAGGCTTTCGTTCGTTGCTGGAGTTGGATGTATACTCATGGCAATTCCACCAGCGCTTATTGGAGCTATAGCTCGCAATACAGGTACGATAGAAATTAAGAAGCCAATGACAAAAGCATGAAATTTGTTACAGATTGGAGAATGACGGATTACTCACCGTGGAACAACGGTACCAAGGTCGAAGCAATCCCAGAAGACAAGCGAAATATGGTGGTTCCTCTAGTGTTCCAGTATCTCACACCCAAATGGGTAGCATTTATAGGTAGGTTCGAATGGATTTGATATTGGCAGAAAACACCAAACGAACCTGCTGAATGCATCAAAACTCCCGATGAGAGTAACAGGTCATTCACTCATCAGCGTCGAGCAAAATTTCTTTCACCATGAAATGACGTTTGGAGGTCGCTAGGAGGTCGCCACCCCCACCCAGCGTTCTTGAGCCGGCAAAGAGCGACAGAAAGCAACCTCGTCATGTTTGACTCATTTATCACCCAAAACCCAAAAATCTCACTACTTCAATGGTGAGATTTTTGGGTTTTGGTCGCAGCTGTCCCATCTTCAGGGGACTGATATGGACTTTCGCTTCGGGACCCTTCATATTCGAATTTGTACACCAGCATCGTGATTGCTGTATGAAAATGGATAGGGGACTTTACATCGCAAATGGATCCTGTAGTGCAATATCTGCCATAAACCAGACCACATTACGATTCGTGTCGGCTGGCGAACCCCTCTTCATTTGAAGTTCTGTACTCAATAGAAGTATTTGAACATATGAAGAGACCTTTGTCAAAAAAAAGTCATGACTAACGCTGGGCAGCATTGTGGAGAACAACTAGACCTGTACACGAAAATTTTAGGACTGGGAGCAGTGTCAGCCGCCGTGATGTCATCAGCTGATTCTTCAGTGCTTTCGGCTGCATCAATGTTCGCTCATAACATCTGGAAGCTTACCATAAGACCAAATGTGAGTAGAATTATACTCACAACCCACCCGCTAATTATAGATATAAATTCTAGGCATCAGAGAAGGAGGTAATCCTGATAATGAGATTCTCTATCGTTGCCGTCGGAGCAATGGCTACCGTAATGGCACTAACAATTCAAAGTATTTATGGATTATGGTAAGAGCAATTTCTGCGCCTTGGCATTGTCATTAGAATTATTTGCAGGTATTTGTGCGCTGATCTCGTTTACGTTATTTTATTCCCGCAACTTTTATGTGTCGTTTACAGAAAAGAGAGCAATACTTATGGTTCACTTGCTGGATATGCAGGTCTGCTTTCATATCTGTCAATATTACTTTAATAAAACAAAGTTTTCAAAATAATCTGACCGATCATCTTGACTTTACATGAGTGTTTCGCGCAACTAGCCAATTTTGATTTTGATTTTCAAAACCTGAGATGTCAATTATACTAGTGTCCCTTTCCTCTCGAAAGAGGGGATTTTCCACAATTGATTCATTGGTTTTGACATTACTCCCGCTTATGAATCCTGGACTCCGAACGTGGGGCCCGATGGAAAGGAGAGTTTTAGCATTTGATTCTTGAAGCCAATATATTTTTGATTATCAGATTGTGCACTAATTTACTTGTTTGTCATAAGTTCTTGCTATTTTGTGCGATTTTTAAGGAATTGCATATGCTTTAAAAATTCTTAAAATGTCCTACCAAGTTCCTTGCTTCATTTTCCTGGATTAAAGAACTCAAAAAATTCAAAGTTTCGATATGAAAACGGAGAGATGAAAAATTATTTTTGACGACTACTATATGTCAACTTCAAGTGAAATATAACGATTGGCCTGTTATTTTCTTTGTTTTTCGAGATATTCTCGAGATTTTTGCCTCTTGAGAGAATGTACAAGTAAGCTAGTAGTGCAGATTTGAGGCTTTTTCAATCTGTTGCACATCATTGGGAAGTATCCACGCAAATTATCAGCCTGTATATTTTTTTGTTAGCCGGGATATCTTCGACTTTTTTGTCACTTGCGAGATGACAAAAACTCACATTTGGAGTTTTTTATTTCTTTTCCTTGCAAATACTACAAAGTGCTGAAAGAAAATTAAATAAAGTTGCAAAGCGAACTTATTAAACCTAGTAGTATTTAATATTCAACGAAGAGAACAATTTGCAAGTCAAGATTTGATTCAGTTGGTCTTGTTCTTCGACTTTCTGGAGGAGAACCGCTCCTGGGTCTCCCAGCATTAGTGCATTATCCAATGTACACAGACGGTATCCAGTACTTCCCATTTAAGACCGTGTCAATGCTAGCATCGCTAATCACGATACTTACCGTGAGTTCACATTATTCAAATCATCTCCGTTCTCAGCAGATAGCAATTCAGGTGTCTCGTATTAGCGAGCACTTATTCAAGGCGGGTCACTTGTCACCAGAACTTGATGTGCTTGGATGTGTAGTAGTCCCACCGGAAAGGATTCCACTACCGTCGGATGTTTCATTCAATGTTAGCAGTGATACTCTAGCTATGAACAAGGTATGCTAACCAAATACATCTCTATTTGAACGAGGCAAATATTATTTTCAGGCAAATGGACACGGCACTAACAACACTACATTCACGGAAACTTCCTTACTTCATCCTAATTATGCAGACCAAAATTATCTGTCGACCAATTCGCATTAGATAGGTTTAAGCAAATATATCATTTTTGCAATAATACGAACAGAATTCTATCATGAATTTTTTGATAATTCAACAGCGACTGATAGTAGAAAGTACAATAGGTCTTTCCATAGACTAGCATTTTGTATTAGAGTAGACCTAGGAGATCCCAACTACGAGTAGACTATTTTTTTCTGTGTACTGATTGTGGATAAACGAATGGCCAAGTATATTTTGTGGACTCTTTGTAAGAGAATACGAGATGTATGTATTAGGACGATGCAAAAGCTGAAATTATGTCCTGTTAACAAATTAGGTAGTAACATAGAGGCTATCTCAACAACGTGTCGCCGCGCTTGGGCATTGCGCCGCCTATCCCGACTTTGGGTGCACTGCGTCGTCAGCAGATTTGCTAGATAAAGGTTTTCACCATGTAAATATTTTGATTTCTTGTGCTTTGTTCAGAACACTTTTCGAGCATGCATGTATGAGAATATGTGTTAAGAAAGGAAGGGAACATCCAATCTAAGGCCCCTTGCATTAACATCCCTGCGGGGAGGGAAGCGACGTACTCCGTCATGACGTGGCCGCTAGCGAATGCCACTGCGTCTTTTTCATCATTGGGGACGCCGCTCCAATCGCCGCAATTATGTTAAAGGCAGCGCCGGCAAAATTTCGATCAAAGTTTTTCTCGCTTACCTGGATTTATTCTTCCCGCTGATTGCGAAAATGTAGCTTGCAGCGTACAAAAATGTCCAAAATGGGCTATCCCAGAAGCTGTTGATTTTGAATAAGAAGCTTGCCGCCGCAACTTCGGGGTTTTGGCAGATTTGGGGCTATTTCGGCCCCGTGAATCACGACATGAACTCCCCTTGGCGCGAAAATGGGGAAAACTCCGTCTTTTGAAACACGGCAGAGTAGGGAGGTAGAGAGCGCTAGAACATTTCTGCCCTACGAAGCTACGAATGACGGCGCGTTTTCTAGCGGAGAACATACTTGTTCGCAGGTGTTAGGGGAGCGAAAGAAAGGACGGGAGCGGCGGTTGGGCCGTTCCCTGGCTTGCAGAGTTCACATTTCCGGCGCGGAGTTGCTGTTTTGGTTCACTTGCAGAGTCGTGGTGGGACCCTACGTTTTGACTGTGTGCGACATACGTACTCTGGCTTCGATTTAGGTCGCCGGGGCGTCCGTCGCCACTTCTGAAGCGGTTTTCTTGCTTCAGAAGCAAATTAGTGCACTGCTAGTTGGGCAAGGGATTTACCAGGACGGGAGCCCCTGCTCAGATAACCGCCGGGGGCAGGCGGCCATGCGAATTTTGAGCAAGCGCGCACCGGAAAAATAGTTCGTTGATTTTTTGCGGCCCGCTTGGAGAAATTTGGAAGAAAGTTGGCGAAATTAAAGGCGAATGCTTGAAGAACAATCGCGGTTTCTTTGTGGATTAGCTGCGGCGCAGTGGCCGCATTCTCGCGGACTTTCCGCGAGAATATGCAAAAATTTCGAGGGCCGCACGGTCCTTTGTGGAGGACTGCGCAACCCCCAGGTACTTTCCGCTGAGAGAAAGTACCTCAAACTTGAGTAATTAGACCAACGGTGACACCTCTGCCACACAGAGTCTTACCTGCGCTCGACGTACGCCCGAAAATGCCTAAAAAGAGTCTGAGCGCTCGCTGAAAGTTTGGCCAGCGCTCGCTGAAAGAAATTATTTGCCGAGCGCTTGCAAAAAATGCTATATTGCTGCCCGCTGGCAGAATATGCGACCGTGAAGGAAGTGCCGCCCGCTGAAGGTTTGGCCACGCCCCAAAATTCTGCTGACCGCCTGCAGAAAAGCGCGAGTTTGCGGACCGCCTGCCCCCGGCGATTATCTGAGTGTACGCTAAAATTTCATATCTACCCGGACGCTGCCTTCAATGCATGCTGCCCTAAGTATCACGGAAGTGACAGAACTACGAGTCTTGTTTAGCTGAACACTTAATAAACAGACAAGCAGAGACCGAGCAGAAAAACAGCGTATTCGTGTTGGTACTATCAACTGAACTTTGGCAAAATGACCTAGCTCACACCATAAAGGTCGCGCAAGACCCGCGGCGACCTCATGGATCCAAGCCGCCGGGTGGTCACTCTCCCGTTGAGATAGCGTGTATATGCCATTCATACAATTGACCTTTGTGTATCCTGTACGCCTTGTTGCAAATCATTCACCCATCGGAAGCTTTGAAGAAGTTGGAGGCTAAGACAATATGGATAAAAGCAGGAGACTTTCTTGGGTTCCTTGTGGTGTATAAGTCAAATGAACAAGGTTATCGATAGGGCAGACGACATGGGCTCGGCAGGGATCGCTTTCCAGTGGCCGTAATCACCAATTAACCCAGTGCCACTGTTTTTGCTTACCCACTGAATAGAGGAACCCACAGGGTTCCTGGATGAATATAGGGTTGAGGGTTTCTCAACGAAGTTGGAGGCAGCAGCTGGCCAAAACCGAACATCTCGAAATGACATGGAAGGTTGCTTGCATCCCAAACATGAGAACAAGGCAGGTCCGAGCACACAGCACGGTGCCGCCTTTGCCTAGAAAACTGTCCCTAACCCGTTAAGCGCAAACCATTCTTATACGCGCGGACGAGCTTGCGATTCTCCTGACCTGTCAGAGAAGGCATGTCGCAATGTTATAAGTGCAGGGGTCTCGCATCGATTCTGCTTCTTTGACCATGGTGGGACGTGCTCCACTTGTCCAAATTCAAAATGGGAGGCCTTGGGAAGTGGTGGTTTTTGCCATTTTCGCGCTCTTCAAGGTGGATTTTCGGAATCACAGCCTTGAATTACCCTGGTAAGAAAAAAGTTCAAGTCGAGAATCTGCCGAGCCGCTGCCTTTAACAATTGGTTTCACTAAAGACGAAGTCCTTGACAACCTCCCCCCCCCCCTTCTGACCACCCTTGACTCCCCGACGTCTTTAGATGTCTAGAGACTGAAGAAATAAATAAAAATGAAATTAAAAATAGTGGTAAAGTCAGGAAAGTCAGAGGACGGTCGTCATCGAGTAGAATTACTTCAATGATCGTACTGAGGTGCACAATCATATAAAAAGTTGAGGAAATGCAAGACGCAAAAGCTAATAAACTAAAAGTAGAGAACTAGATGAAAATTCAAAGGAACCGGATGCAGACAAGACATTTTCGACCTGGACATCCGTCCATAACAGAAAAATCGGAAACTTATGTAGTACGATCTCGATCGGATTGAGGCGGTCTGAAGACGCACTAGTTCTGACGAAGGTATCACTCCACATAATTTTGAAACTTCTTACATAATTCTTCCGCATATAATATTCTGGATATACAGTCCAAATTTGTTGTTACAAGCTTGTATCTACGCTGTAAACAAGCAATTTGTTTAGAATTTTAGAATTGCTTTCAATCGCGCGGGTTTTTCGCAGACACGGTAGAGTCTGTCATTTTGATAACCTGTCTCTAAAGCTTGTCTTTTAAGTTGCGAGGTAGCGGCTGGTACTCAACGCCTGAGTGGTACTTGACGAGTTTTGAACGGGTAACAATTGATGTTTAGGTGTTACTCAACAACTTCTGGGACAACTTTTGAACAACACAACTTTTTTCTGGAGGCCCCTCTCCCATTCCAAACCCCACAAAATCGATGTCCACTTTGCTTTTTGTGATAACCAAGCGTCGCCATCCTCTATTCAACAGTCTGTGCCGAGCCCCTGACGCATCCCCTAGTGTAGCATTATACCTGGAAGTGAGCATGCGCCATACCACTTAGAACAGCCGTCCCAGCACTATCTAGTTCTATAAAATAGGTTGTTCCGGAGTTTCTTCGATCTGTTATAAAATCTGACAGTGTTATATTTTCGAATGTTCGAAGAGCATTGCAGATAAAATCAGCACACGCACAAATCTTAACGTTACAAACTCGCATGCATGGGTGTACGCAAATTTCATTTTTTAGTGTTTCGGTGTGAGCGCTTACTTACATTGTTGAAGTAGACATCAACAATGACTAAATTTGCAGACCTTTGAATCTCGAAGGTTTGTAGGGCCGTATAATTTCCTGTACAAATCTGTGGGTTCAAGTTCTTCAAAAAGTTTTGGGCGAAAATTTTGAGATATAGTAAACTTTGTGGTGTTTGAAATACTATCGGAACTTACTTCGGTGATTAGAACGACCAGTCTGAAAAGCAGTTGCTAAAAAGAGAAATAGAAACTGCGTCGAATCGGTAAATCACGAGGGCACGTTTGTTACGAATATAATAACCACATGTAAAGACAGCTATTACCTATGCCGATTGCAAGCCTTGAGCCATGGGATTGGGAGTAGGAGCACCAGTGAGCGATATGACGCGTCCTTTAGTGATTTCGTTCCTTTCCAGTTTTAGCAGAGGCACAATATTACCGCTTCTGCACCTGTTGTTTCGCTCGCGCATGTGAATACACGTTAATGGCTAATTCTGTAACCTGCTTTCTTTTCCGTTAGGTGCTTCTTCATAACCGTATGACCCGTTACCCCAGGTGATGTGCAGGGGCGCAGAATTTTGAGGGTCGTTGTCATACCTTAAGCATGAGTTGCTTGACACCAGGTAAATTAGAAAATATCTCAGCGTACTGAGACGCATGTCTATGCGCATGGAACGGAAATAAGAAAATTTGATCAAAACATCAAGTGTCAATGGAAGCAATAACTCGTCCTTATACGAAATTCAGCAACACTAATAATGAAAACAAAATCAAAGCTCCGGTGGCCGGCTGTGGAACTCACATGTGAACGAGACGGCAAAACGGAAAACCAAACAAGCAACAACATAATAACTTGTAAAAAACATATTATTGTGGCAAGATGCAGACGTGAATTTTGCGGTACTTCAATGTACTTCACTGCAATGTAAATTTTCATGAACTTTTGATATGCCCACTCGACCAATAGGCGATAAGCCCCGAAGCGAATGGACGGTTCAAGTGATATAAATTCTTCGATGGCGTCGAAAGGTATATGACTGATGCTTGAAGCTTATTACGGAGCAGTGTCAAAGTACCTGCAAGTCATTTCTTTTTCTTGTATTTGAGAGCTTCTTAAGCGAGTGCTTATTGAATTTTGCAGCGCACTGGCAGAATGTTGACGAGTTCATGCACTATGACGTTCATGACGCAATCGGCGAAACCGACCGTTGACCAGTCG